ATGTTTTGTTCCAATGTACTAGTAGGCGTATCCTCAGGATTCAGGAGTGCTGATTAGGACAGGTGTTCTTTATTAGCTAACTCCTATATAAGACAGCACTTTTGTTGTTTTCTTTGTTATAATTAAGCACGATATCGTGTGAAATGCGTTAACAGGTCCTATATTCATGTCCTGGTGTTTTGTGTGTCCTATGGATCAATAAATATACACTATATTCATCAATCTTCCAGTGTGCGGCTGACCCTTTTTACTGTTGCATCATGTGTGGTTGCGAGCCAGCCAGAGCCTGCACCTGTTATGGATTGATCTGGATTGTTTGCCTCTGCTCTTTGGATTCGGGGGGACTGTCCTTAGCACATACCCTACTCTAGGAACCCTGGCAAAATGACTGGTCCAAAGAGAAGGTGCGAAGAAGGGACGGAGTAGTGGCACATACATGGCATGAAAGGTGATAATGAGTGGCCGCAGGTCACGGTTAAAACTCTTTAAAGAACTCTTTAAAGAACGCTTTTTTTTTAGTAAATAAATGTATGCTGAGACTACTGCGTAGAAGGAGAAGAACACAATTGGAGGGTCCTGGTGGTCTTGCGGGTCGGTGGGTCTATTTATGTTTACAAAATATAAAAGAACTTTCTGGGACTGTTAGTAGAAGAAAAAAGAGGGATATCCCGGGATCAGTATTTCTGATATAGAGGAATAGATGAAAACGAACTATAACGTTCTAAAGAAATGGAGAATTGCTCAATTAAAGTGGGGGGATCAAAAACCCCCAATCAAATGTAAATACTAGTACAATAAGAAAGTACTTGCCCCCACAGGAGAAAAGCCCTTAGACCCAAACTCAAGAGAACTACCATGAAGGATCAAAAAAATACGATGGGGACCAATCCAGACTTTCACTCGTGACACTGGAAGAGAACCAGATTAAAGAACCTGTAAATAGGGAAAGAACAAGGAAATAAGAAGAGCAATTGGCGGAAATGTTTGCAAAATTAGAGATGTCTATGAAAAATGAGATTGGGACACTATGCACCGACCTAGGTCAGATACTAACCAGCATTGAAGAAGTAGAGGAGAAAATGAAGGGATATGCACAACAAATTAATAAACTGGAAACTCAGGTGGAGGAGATGCGTAGAGAACAAAGAAAGTTATCATTCATAGTAGAAGACCAGGAGAACCGCAATAGAAGAAACAACTTAAGGATTAGGGGTTAAGCAGAAGAAACGGGACAGGAAGAGGACCTACAGGAGAAAATTAAGAAAATCTGTAACCCAATTATGAGAAGATCTCTGGCAGAAAAACTGAAAATTGAGAGAGAACATAGGATCAGACGGCCAAAAGAAATACCGGCAGGAAGCGCCAGAGATGTGATGTGTCTCCATCACTATGGAGGCAGGGAACGAATATGGAAAGGGTTTTGTGGGACTTACTGAAATTAAATATGAGGAAACAACCTTACATATTTTTGTGGACATTTCCGCCGAGACACTGGCTAGGAGAAGATCCTTCAAACCATTGCTGGACCATATGAAAGAGAAAAAAGTTTGATAAAACTGGGGATTTCCAGTAAGTTTAATCAGGTGGAAAGATGGAAAAATCGGCAAGACTGAGGTTCCCAGAAGATTTGAATAACTTTTGTGAGAAATTGGAACTGCAGAAAATGGACCTTGAGGGATGGTCAGAGGGGTCTAGAGAGCAGAGGGCAGGGCTCAGGAGGGTGACAGCGGGTATCTAGGAACAAGAAGTAGGGGGGCATGATGGGGGAAGCTGGGGGTTGAGTGTTTTTTTTTCTCTCTCTTCCCCCCCGGCTCTCCTCAGCAAATGGCATGGTTCCCCTACCCTCCGCCCCTTGTTCCCGAGCTGAGTGAACGGGGGAAGGGGCGGAGGGGTAGTGAAGAATGTGGAATTGGCGGATGACCCGGAGGCCAAGCATGCTGCCATCTCCAACCTAGGAATGACATCAATCCAGGATTGGGGCTGCCGTGCATGTTTTCAGTTTCACCCCAAAATTAGAAATCGCCAGTGGGGATTCCCCACGTCAGGTTCCAAGGCAATACATAGGCTTCGAGGGTTGTAGGGGTGGGAGGGGGGTGAGGGGTGAGTGGGTGGGTAAAACAGAGGAGAGGAGGGAAGGAATTGGGGAATGGAAAAAGGAGGAAAAGTGAGAAAGGCCATATTCTAAACTGTCTATATCAGTTTTTTCTTTTTTGTGAAAGGAACTCTGATAGGGCAGGGAAACAATAGCTGAAATTTGTGTCATGAAGTTTATGACTTATAACGTGAAAAGGTCAAACTCCCCCACCAAAAGTCATAAAATACTTAGTGAAATTTAACAACACTCCATAGATGTAGTGTTTCTTCAAGAGACACATATAACTCGGCACAAATGTGAAGTTATATATGAAGCAATATCTAACGTGGTATTATGCAGACTCTCCAGTTAAAAGGGCTAAAGGGATCACAATTGGATTGTCAAAGAATGTGAGCTTTATTTTAGAGGGAAAAATGGAGGACCCAGAGGGCTGGTTTCTATTTTTGAGGAAAAAAATTACAAGGATCTGAATACACATTTAATATCTGTTGTCCAAATAAAAACCCAGTAACATTCCTGGAGGGAGTGTTAAGAGAACTCTCTGAATTCAGAAGAGGTAGTCTGGTTGTGACTGGAGATTTAAACTTGTGTATGGACCCCTAATAGATGCGTCATCCTGTACGAGGAGAGAGGGGGGAAGGAAATTAAAATCACTGAAGAGATTACTTTATCAAAGTCAACTGATCAATACTTGGAGAGTTAAACACCTAAGAGAAAAAGATTACACCTGTTTCTCCCCGGTACATGGATCGTATTCATTGCTGGACAATATAATGATTAAACATAGACAATTAGAGTTGCTGCTGGTTAGCACCAACATAGAGGTTGTGTTTATTTTCGGATCATGCTCCTGTCACAATAAGACTACGGGTAGGTGGGGATCAAGATAAAATAACTTTATGGAGACTAAATTAAATGCTTATACAGATCGCGAATTAGAAAAAAAGATTAAGGGGGGAAACAGGGCAATTTTTTTAGTTTATAGAGACAGAGGAGGCAGCAGTAGCCACAGTCTGGGAGGCACATAAAGCTTATATCAGAGGGATACTGATCTCGATGGGAGCAGAAAAAAAGAAAGAACGAGGGAAAAAAAATAAAGATGGTGATTGAGGAACTTTATAAGTTAGAACATTTACACACAAAAAGAAGAAAAGAACTAAAAGATCTTATGGAACAGGAGTCGAGAAGGATATTTAATAGAGGAAATTAAAGGAATAGAAATAAAAAAACTTTATAGAAAAAATTAAAGATGACAAAAGAGAAATGGTGTACGCCACCACCGATATCACTAATAGGTTCCAAAAATATCATAGTCGCCTTTATTACGTGACTCCCAGAGATCAAAAAATGGAGGAGGAAATAAAGAAAAATAGACAACATTTTTAAATGAAGTGGGGCTGCCAAGAATAGCAGGAGAAAAACTAGAGGCCCTAGAGAGGCCTATTACCTTAGAGGAAATTAATCTGGCTTTAAAAAATACGGCTAAAGGAAAACGCCCCGGCCCGGACAGATATACTGTAGGTTATTACAAACTTTTTTTTAGATCTTTTAGTCCCTAAAATTGTGCAGTTATATGAATGCAATAGGGGAAGGGATGGAAATGAGTCATGGCAGGCTCATATAATGATTATACTTGAAGAAGGGAAAGATAGCTCATAGTGTGTCAGTTACAGGCCTATATCCCTACTAAATACCGACACTAAAACTATATGCTAAGGTGTTGGCAACCAGATTAAAGGATTTGATGCCGGAGTGGATACTGTAGCAATTATACGTACAAATATGGATGTGAACCTCCATTTTGCCAAAGACCCTCCATCTTGTATCATTTCTCACTCCAAATCAGCTCCCCCCTCCCTCTCTGTTGAGTGACACATGGTCCCTGTGTGCTGGGTTCAAGAGTGCACAGGACACAGTTGGATATCCTTCATGGTTGTAAATAGAGATGAGCGAATTATTCAAAAAGTCGATTCGACTGATTCGGCAAATTTGTGGAAAAAATTTGATTCGAGTCGAATGTATTCGCTGCGAATTTAACTTATAAAAGGGTGTTTCTAGGCTTCAGAGAGCCTTTATATTAGTGCAGAACACTGTACCTTTAATTTAAATGCCCTTGGAGTCTGCTGGGGAAGAGAAATAATACTGTCAGGTCAGTATGACATGCAGATGAGTGCCGTCGATCTTAGAATCACCGCACACTTCACTTCATTTGGGCAGTCACGGCCAAAACCAGAGTGTGGAGCCACAGTGTGGCGGTGGAGGCAGCAGCAATGGGAGGCCATACAGCACCTATGACAAAATGGTAACCCACCAGCACTGTGAGGAGACCTGAAAGTGGCACATGGCAGAGTGTGGCGATGGAGACAGGCCGAACAGCAATGGTCCTGGCAGCCGTACAGGGACCCATGACACACTCTGGCATGGCCAGCAGTCCCTACGCATGAGGAGGCGGTACAGGGGCCCATGGACCCATGATTAGACTACTGGCCTGGCAGCAGCATGAGGAGTCAGTACAGGGGCCCCATGGCAGATTACGGGCCTGGCAGCAGCATGGGAGGCCGTACAGGACCCATGACACACTCTGGACCTGGCAGCAGCATGAGGAGGCGGTACAGGGGCCCATGACAGATTACGGGCCTGGCAGCAGCATGAGGAGTCGGTAACGGGGGCCCATGGCCTGGCAGCATTAGCGGTACAGGCCTGGACCTGCAGCAGCAATGAGGCGTACAGGGCCCATACAGATTACGGCCTGGCAGCATGCACAAACGGGGGCCCCATTGACACACTCAGGACCTGGCAGCAGCATGAGAGGGAACAGGGGCCCCATGACAACGTGCCTGCAGCAGCATGCAGAGTCGTAACGGGGCCGCATGACAATTTACTGGAGGCAGCAGCAAGGGAGGCCGTACAGGGACCCATGACAGACACTCTGGAGCCTGGCAGCAGCGTTGAGGAGGGCGGTACAGGGGGCCCATGGCAGATTACGGGCCTGCACAGCAAGGGCCTGCAGCAGGCAATGGGAGGACCGGTACAGCTGCCAGCACCCTATGATGGGCCTCAGCACAATGGACCCTAATCCACCATGACAAAATGAACAGTGGTGAGAGGAGACTGAAAGGTGGCAACATGGCAGAGTACTGGGCGATGGAGACTGCAGCAATGGGAGGGCGTACAGGGACCCATTGACACCTCCTGTGGACAATCTGGCAGCAGCAGCGTGAGGAGGCGGTAACAGGGGCCATGGCAGATTACGGGGCCTGGCAGCAGCAATGGGGAGGCCGTAATCTGCCAGCTCCCTATGACAAAATGGAACCAACCACAGCGTGTGTGAGGAGACCTGAAAGTGGCACATGGCAGGTGTGGCGATGGAGGACAGCAGCAATGGGAAGCAGTACAGGGACCCAGGACACAATCCTGGTCTCGGCCCGCAGCCATGAGGAGGCGGTCACAGGGGCCCATGACAAGATTCCGGCCTGGCAAGCAGATTGAGGAGTCGGTCGGGGACATGACGGATTTTTTTTTTTTTTTTTTTTTTACGGGCCTGCAGCAGCAATGGGAGGCCGTACAGGGGACCCCTGACACTCTGGACTGGGCAGCAGCATGAGCAGGCGCTCCAGGGGCCCATGACAGATTTACGGCCTGGCAGCAGCATGAGGAGTCGGATGACAGGGGCCCATGACACACTCTGGACCTGGCAGTCAGCATGAGGAGGCGGTTACAGGAGCCCATGACAGATTAGTGCCTGGCCGCTGCTTGAGGAGTCGGTACGGGGGCATGCTCGATTACGGTGGGCTGCAGCAGCAATGGGAGGGCCGTTCCATGGGACTCATGAACACTCAATGCGGACCTGGGACAGCAGCAAGAGGTCCGGCGGTACAGGGGGCACATGACATGATTACGGGGCGCTGGCAGGCAGCGAATGAGGAGTCGCGTGACGGGGAAAGGGACAACATGGACCTGGGACGCGCATGAGGCTAGGCGGTACAAGGGGGCCATGAAGATTTCGGGCTGGCCGCAGAGCGAGGAGATCCAGGTTGTTGGGGGATGGCAGATTACAGGTGGAGCAGCATGCTGTAGCCGTACAGGGCCCATGAACACTAGGTCGGCGCAGAGCATGAGGAAGGCGGTACAGGGGGCCATGACTAGATTACGGGCATGGCATGCCAGCATGGAGGAGTCGGTACGGGGGCCCATGATCACAATCTGGACCTGGCAGCAGCATGAGGAGGACGGTAAAGGGGCATGACACAGATTAGGCCTAGGCAGCGCACTGAGAAGTCGGTATGGGGGGCCCATGGCAGAATTACGGGCGTGGCAGCAGCATGAGGGAAGCCGTACGGGGACACCATGACACACTTGGACCTGGCAGCAGAAAGGGGAGGGGGTTACAGGGGCCCAGGGAACAAAATTAAACCGGCCGGGCAGCAAATGGGGGTTTCGGGTACGGGGGGCCCCCATTGACAAAATTTGGCCCTTGGCGCAGAAAGGAGGAGGCGGAAAAGGGGGCCCCAAAAGGACAGTTTCCCGGGCCTGGCAGCAGCATGAGGATTCGGTCCCGGGGCCCCATGGCAGATTGGGGGCCCGGCAGCAAAAGGGGAGGCCGACAGGGCCCAAATTAACCCACGGGGAAAACCTGGCTCAAAATGGGGAGGCGGGTTACGGGGGCCCATGGCAGTTTGGGGGCCGGGGCAGCAGCAAGGGGAGGCCCATAATCGCCAGCCCCCTTGGGAAAAAATGGAAACCCACCACAGTGTGGGGAGCCCTTTAAATTTGGCATATGGCAGAGGGGGTGGCGATGGGACAGCAGCAAGGGGAGGCGGTAAAAGGGCCCCAAAGGGACCCCGGGTGGCCCGGCACACATGAAAAGGCGGTAAAAGGGGCCCCAGGGCAGATTAGGGGCCTGGCGCAGCAATGGGGGGGCCCTTTAATCGCCAGCACCCTATGACAAAAGGGAAACCCACCGGGCATTTGTGAAGAGCCCTTTTTAAATTTGGAACATGGCAGAGTGTGGGGGATGGGGGACAGCACAATTGGGGGGGCCTTACGGGGCCCCCAGGGAAAACATTTGGGCCCTGGCAGCAAAATGAGGAGGCGGTACGGGGGCCCCCGGGCCCAGTTTAAGGGGCCTGGCAGCAGCAAGGGGAAAGGGCCCCCGTAATCCTTGCCAGCCCCCCCAAGGAAAAAAAGGAACCCCACCAGCAGTGGAGGGACCTGAAAGTGGAAACAGGCAAGGCGGGGGAAATGGGGGAAAAGGCCAGAAAATGGGAGGCCTTTAAAAGGGACCCTTGGGAACACTCGGGCCCCTCGCAGCACGGTTTTTGGGGGAGGGGGAAACGGGGGCCCCAAAGGCAGTTTTTCGGGCCTGGCAGCAGCGGGGGAAAGGGCCCGAAAATTCGGGCCAGGACCCCTAGGGACAAAAGGGAAACCCACGACAGTGTGAGGGAAAACCTTAAAAAGTGGCACATGGCGGGAGTGTGGCGATGGAGACAGGAGAAAAGAGGGGCCCGTACAGGGACCCTTTGACACACTCGGGCCCTTTGGCAGCAGCTTTTGAGGAAAGGCCCTTTACAGGGGCCCATGCAGTTTTACGGGCCGGCAGAGCTTGAGGAGTGGGGGGTACGGGGGCCCCATGGCAGATTACGGGCCGGCAGCAGAAATTTTGGGAAGGCCTTTTACAGGGCCCCCCCATAAACACACTCTAAAATTGGCGGGGCCAGCTTGAGGGGGCGGAACAGGGCCCCAGACAGATTACGGGCCTAGCGGGCCAGCAAGGGTCGGTAGGGGGGGCCCCATGACACACTTTTAAAGGGCCCCAAGCTTGAGGGGGGGCCGGGTCCCAGGGGCCCTGAAAAATTTTACGGGCCCTTGGCAGCAGAAATGAGGGCCCGGTACGGGGGCCCCATGGAAAGTTTTAACCGGGCCGGAAAGCAGCAAGGGAGGGGTTCCGTACGGGGGGACCCTTTACAAAACCCCGGGAAAGGGGGCGAAAGGCATGGGGAAAGGCCGGTTACGGGGGCCCAGGGAACAGTTTAAGGGCCCCGGGCAGCGCTTTAAGGATTGGGTTTCGGGGGCCCCCTTTACACACTATGGACCGGGCAGCGCTTTGGGGAGGGGGTAAAAGGGGGCCCATGACTTTTTGGGGGCCCTTTGGCACAGCATGGGGAAATGGGGTCCGGGGCCCATGGCGTTTACGGGCCGGGCGGGCAGCATGAGGAGGCCGAACAGGGACCCAAATGACACACTCGGGAAAATTGGCAAGCACATGAGGAGGTGGTACAGGGGCCCTTTACAGTTTAAAGGGGCCGGGCAGCGAAAGAGGGGGGTCGGTTGGGGGGGGCCAGACAAAACCGGCCCGGGGGCCGGCAGCATGAGGAGGGGGTTTACAGGGGCCCATGACAGTTTAAACGGGTTTGGAAAGCCATGAGGAGCCCGGGTACGGGGGCCCTTTGGCAGATTGGGGGCCCAAAGGGCATCAGCAATGGGAGGCCAAAAAACCCACCCTATGACAAAATTGGAAAACCCCCCAGCGTGGGGGTGTCCCTGAAAAGTGGCCATGGCAAGTGTGGGATGGAGCAGAAACAATGGGGGGCCCTTTCAGGGACCCATGACACACTCAGGACCTGGCAGAAAGGGGTGAGGAGGCGGTTCGGGGGCCCCTTTTGGCAAAATTAAACCGGGCCCTTTGGCAGAAAACCCCAATTGGGGGGCCCGTAATCGGGCCCAGCACCCTATGAAAAAAATTTTGGGGAACCCCCCCAGCAGTGTGTGGAGCCCCGAAAGGGGGCACCGGGGCGGGAGCCGGGGCGATGGGGGCAGAAAGCAAGGGGAAAGGCCTACAGGGACCCATGACACACCCTTTGGCCCTGGCAGCGCGTGAAGGGGGTAAAAGGGGCCCATGGCGGGTTTTAAGCGGCCTGGCCCAGCAGCAATGGGGGGGCCCGAAATCTCCCAGCCCCCTTTAATAAAAAAACCCAAAAAAAAAAATGGAACCCCCCAGCAGTTTAGGAGGCCTGAAAGGGCACATGGCAGGTGGGGCCCGATGGAGACTGAAAGCAATGGGAAAGGCCTTTTACGGGGACCCTTTGACACACTTTTTCCCTTGGCAGCAGCTTTAAAGGAGGCGGTCAGGGGGCCCCTTGGATATTACGGGCCGGGCCAGCAAAGATTGGGGGCCCCCTTAATCTGCCACCCACCCAAATAAAAAAAGGGAACCCCAGCGTGTGGGAACCTAAAGTGGCACATGGCAGAGTTGGGGCGTTGGAGAAAAGCAGCAATGGGAGGGGACGGGGACCATGACACACTGTGGACCGGGCCCGGGGGCAGAATGAGGGGGCCCGGAAGGGGCCCAGGGGGCAGTTGGGGGCCTTTGGGAAAGCGCTTTTGGGAGGGGCCCCGAAAGACTGCCCAGCACCCTTTTGACAAAATGGAACCCCACCACCCATGTGAGGGCCGAAAGTGGACTTTGTTTGGGGCATAAAATTCAGGGCGGATTTAGTCAGTTTTTTTAAAGGTAATTTGGGGTTTTTTTGAAAATCCAGGACTAATCAAAGCCTGATTATTTTCCACAAACCCGGGGAGTCCTCCCCACACTTTGGGGGGACAGTCCTTGTCCTCCGCGGATTTTCCCAATACCCCCTTCCGGGCCTTTAAAAAACGCGCTCCATTGCCCCCCGCTAACGGCCGGGCATGACAGCCCTTTAAAAAGGGCAAAATTCAGCTAGTTGGGGCCAAAGGTAAAGTTTCGTTCCCCAATAGTAAAGGGGGAGGGGTCTCCCCGGGGTTTGGGCAGGGTGCTGCCCCCAAGTGGGCCCCAACCCTTTTTTTTGAGGCCCTGCCCCCAGGTCCCCCCGGTTTCCCTGGCTGCTGCAGGCTTTTTGGTTTTTAAATTTTTCCTCACGCGTTTGGTTTTAAAGAAAGTTTACTCTAAACCCTGCAGTTTTGGAGGCGGGCCGCTGCTGGGGAAGTGACATTTTCCTCCCAACCCCACCCCTCCCCCTTGTTTGCCCAATGGCAGGGGAACGCGAGCGCACGGGGCCCACAGTTTTGGTGGAGGGACGGTTGGGCATAAAGGGCGGGAAACCAAACTGACCTCATAGGGGGGTTTTTTATAGTACTTTTTTGGGCCCTCCCCCCTTCGGCAGGTGTGAAAAAGGCACCAAATTTTTAAAACGGTTGGCGAGGGTCCAAAAAGGTTGGAAGCCCAAAAACATCCCAAAGGTCTGAGGGTTTTAAATTATTGGGGCTGTCACTACGAAAGAAACCAAACTTCCCTTTTGGGCCTTTTGTGCCAAGGAATGCGGGGGGATTTCCCTTTGCCTCCATCCCCAAAAGCAAACTTGCCAGGGGGCCCGTCGGGGCCCTCTGTCTCCTCACCCCCCCTTTAAATTACCAGATGCCCTTTCATCCACTCCTGTCCGCTTAGGGGAAAAAACCCAAACCCTTTTCAATCAATAATTCCTGAGCCCCAAAAAGTCCCTCCCCCTTACCCTCCCCCTTCTTTTTCCTGTCCCCCCCCCAAAACAGGGGTCATGTGGCCGTTGGATCTTTTTCCCACGTTTTCCCCCCGGGGTCCCTGCCCTTTTTTTAACCCCAGCATTTGTTCCAGGACGGGGCAACGAGTTTGACTTTTTTAAATCCCATAGCCGGTCGACCACGAAAACTGGCCCTCCCCCAAAGGGCCTGAGAAAAGGTGGCAGGTGCCCAGCTTTTTGACCCGGCAAGGGCTGACATCAAGTTACGAGGGGGAGAACCAAAAATCCCCGTTTAAACAAAAGGAAATCTGGTGTTGGCCCTTTCTTCTGTTTCGTAAAAAGGGGGTTTCCTAACAAAAGTGGGTTTTTGAATTCCCCCATTTTAATTTTGGCCAACGCCCCCGCATGAGAGCCCGGTAGGGGGGCCCAGGGCAAATTCTGCCTGGGGCAGCACAATTGGAAAGGCCCAAATTTTCCTGAAAGCACCCTATGAAAAAATGGAAAACCCAGCAGCAGTGTGAGGAAACCGAGAAAGGGGGCCAAACCTGGCAGGTGGGGGCGATAGAAGCAGAGCAATGGGGGGCCCGGTACAGGGACCCATAAACACACTCTGGACCTGGCAGAAAGCAGGGATAATTCTTTTACCCAAGTAAAGGGGGCCCCCAATTGGGAAAAAGATTTATGGGGGGCCTGGCGGGGGCGGGGGAAAAAAATAGGGGAAAATTTTTTGCCCGAAAACCCCCAAACCACAAA